AAAAAAAAAAGAAAAAAAAACATTTTGGAAGCATTTATCTTTAGTGAAAATCTGTATTTTGAAAAACCTGAGACTCAGAGAGCTATTATATCCAATGACATCCAGCAAGCAAAGTTTGGACTTTATATCACCTACTTAACTTAAAAGTCTGATACATCTTCGGCCAATGTTAAATAAATATATAAATGTCCATTTATCCAGCCTAACTGTACTAGGTGTTTACTAACCTCTGCGTTCTCAGTTACTCAGTAATCAAACCCTGATTTTATTTTAGACTTGAATGAAGCCGTATTTTCCCAATTCAGTGTAAATCTTTCCTTGGAGTCCAAGACATCTTTGAAAATACACAATGATGGAAATATGGTTCAGATTCTTCTAGGTGATGTGGTATCAATTGGTGGTATTTTTTTTCCTCTGTGTCCAATAAGAGGCTCATTTGCCTGAAAATTTATAACTGATTTATAACCTTTCCAGATCCTCTGCTTAGATCTTCTGATTCTTTTTTAACATTATATGAAATTTTTAAAAAAGAGGAAGTAATAAAATGGTGGTTATAATTTTTTCCAATCAAAGGCAGCTGGCTTCTAAGTCACATAAGTTCTTTTCTACCCCTTTTCTATCTCCTACCTAGGATTTATTGTGTTTCATATTATTTGCTAATATTACTTCTACTATTTAGCAATAGTTTGTAAGACGATATTTTAATGCACTTATAACATACCTCTAATTTTTCCAAGCAACCTATCCCTTCTCCAAAACTTAACATTTAAAATGAATAGAATTTTTGAAATGGTTTAAACAGAGATTTAAGGCAATTATCTCAGAGGCTACATGTGAAAAGTAAAGTGGAGAACTGAGGTGCCAATTCCGATAGTATTGTCCCCTGCAATAATCTTATAACACTGTGACCAAATCCTTTGATGACAGATGTATAGCAGGTGTCACAGCAAAGTCAGCATTCCAGGGGTATCTGAACCCAACAATTCAGGTTATAAAAGAGTGCAACTGAATTTACATATTTTAACAGAAAGTTATTTCTCAAAGACTTCTTAAATTCTCTAATTTATTTTGCACAGGTCGGAAGTGGTGTTACACACAGAATTAGGATTCTCCTTCCTTATCCCTCGGCATTGGTTTCTGTTATTTGCCCTAAAATGACATGCAAACAGGTTGTCTCGAATCACGGCTCCTCAAAACGGAGCCTGAGACGGAGACTTCTGTGTGAGTGATTTTTTAAGGAAGTGCTCTCAGAGTAATAGAGTGAGAGAGGAGGAGACGGGATGTGGGTCCAGCCAGAGTTGGGCTTCAACTGGAGGCCAAGCAGAAATTCTGAGCATGAATCTCATCATGGAGTTGATCCCAGTTTGAGGCCATGGTGCCAGCTGTTTGAATCTATATCCATCAGGTATGGGTAAGGGACACAGAGGGTATAACCTCCCAGGCTAGAAGATTTCCATCAGGCTGAGGCACCAACAACATCCACAGCCAGGGTCTTAATGATCAACAGAACTAGTGTCCATAATAAACCTTCTGTTAACCTTCCAGTTTACCCAGTTCTTCCTTCCCGCCTTGAGCCAGCCTTAGACTGCCTCTATGTAGCTGTTTCTGTTGTGTTCCAGGGTGGCTTGGTTTCTCCAGAGCGCAGGATGACTGCAGCTGGGGAGCCTGTCATCCTTCCACAGGCGATCTCCTCGTGGGCCGCAACACGCAGCTCACAGCTTCTTCCACCTGCGGGCTGAACGGACCCCAGAAATATTGCATCCTCAGTTACCTGGAGGTGGGTTGGCTCAGTGTTTACTTGCTGGAACAATATTTAATCAATGATGTAGATTTTTTTCCAAGTACCTCTGGTGTTACTCAGACAATGTTAAAGAAGACAAAACAATGGAGACATAAGAGCAGCTGTCCCTGGGTATCTGATGGGGACTGGTCACGGGACCCTCCTCTCTCTACCCAAATCCATGAATTCCCAAATCCCTGATCCAAAATGGCATGGTATTTGCACATAACCTGGTTGAATCTGAAGATGCGGAACCAACTGCAGGGCCATCTGTAATATAATTCAAAGTCCAGGAAACTGCAGCTGATCAAAAAATAGGGCAGATCTGCTTAATTTCCATTTCTTGATACCCTCAGAATTAGACAACTCTTTCTGGTTCAGTCTTTGAAGGGAATTGCTATAAAGTCTAATTAGCTGTATTGGCCACTCCCATAGAGCAAACAGAATTATAGTTCAGTGAAGACAGAAGATCCCCCTCAAGGCCATTCTGCTGAACATGAGTCCTGAAGCGTCTGCCTAAAGCAGATGAGGGGGCATAAAACTGTGAAGTGATTATGCCAACCTCATATCACTTGGAGGCTGTATTGTCTAAAAACCATAAATTCCCAATGTAAATATGGTTTTGTGCCTCTTTCCCTTAAAGAGCAGTTTTATAAAAGGACCAGTGGCTGTTTGAGTTTTTTTCTCTCCCCATGTACTGGCCACAGAACAAGCATCCAAGGTCATCTGAGTATTAAACCTACAGAAAACCCCGAGACAACCGTATCCACCCCGTAAATGGGAGGATGTGCAGGAAGGAAGTTGGCTATAAGCCTAATGTGAGCAGCCCAGGCTTTTCCATGTATTGTTCATTTAAGGCAACTTGTTTAGATCTCTGATAAATGCTTTGTATTCTAATTAGTTTCTAGTAAAAGCTGATGATTAAATATGTGCAGACAATACATGGGTGCTGAGCATTAGTCTAAGTTTGGGAAGTACTTGAGCAAGAGAGCAAATCCTCTACGTGTGCAAGGAAATTACATGGTGGAAATTCTCCGCTGTAGGCCATGTGGGATGGATGGCCTTTTAAATGACCTTACTGAGTCCAGGTCCTTTGGACAAAGCAGAGGTTCTCAGCGGTAATATTAGAAATGTTCCCATATCACCCATCTTGTTCTCCAGCCACTGATATTTGCTTACTGGTGTCATGATCCAAATACTCTGCCAATAATCACAAATTGGTATTCTTAGGTCTCCAAGTTACACCACCGAAAAAGAAGTAAATTCAACGTCCCTGTTGAGAAGCCTGTGGCGGCTTCTTTTGTCTATGGAATGACAGAAATCTTAGAAAACTTAGAAATGGAAAACTACCTCAAAATATTTCAGGTTGACAAATTATTACAGGTGGGGCTATAATCACCAGTCTAGATAAACATCTGGGCAGCATGGAAGGTGATCCCCCCTCCCCCGTCCATTATCGAAGACAGATCTACCAAGGAAAACATTTTCTTCAGATGCTTCTTCAGTTAACATTGACCCACGTGTTATCCAAGTTCAAACTCCCACATCCGCTGGCCACAAGGAAGCATCCTCTGGAGCCAGCCCCATCAAAGGCTATGCACCTAAACATTTACAGAAAAGTGGCCCATAACCCCTAAAAGTTAATAATTTTCCCCAATAATTTCCAAAATATAACTGGAAATTCTTTGAAGCCTTGATATCTTTTAATGGAAGCACAAGGCTTCTGCAGCTCATTTAAGGCAGTTCTGGGGCTAGCCTACCCCATGCAGAACAGACCTAGCACCTATCATGACTTAATTTTCAAAGTACTTTTTGCTTTTCTTCAAAAAGCAGGTTTACAGTGGCCAGCAATTCTAAAATGCACTGATTACGCAGATCTCTTGAAGGCCTAGATCACTCTGACAGACTCTAGCTGAAATAATCATTAAAATCATCATGTATTCATTCCACAAATTCTACTGAGCACCTACTCTGTGTCAGGGGCTATTCTAGGTAATGGAGATATAGCAATAAAGGAAACCACGTCTGTCCTCAGTCAGCTTCCCTTGCAATTATGGAGACAGATGATAAACCAACAACCTTATAATATAGTCTCAAGTAGTGATAAGGCTTAGGAAATATATAAAGCAAGTCACAGGACAGAGCGTGGCAGAAGGCTGTGAAGAGAGACAGTGGCCTTTTAGATAGCGTCATCAGAGAACATCCCTCTAAGATGAAGGCAAAGTAATAAATTTCCCTTTCCTTTTTCTAAAAAAAAAGAAAAAAGTACCGGGTGCGGTGGCTCACGACTGTAAAATCCTAGCACTCTGGGAGACCAAGCTGGGAGGATCGCTTGAGCTCAGGAGTTTGAGACCAGCCTGAGCAAGAGTGAGACCCCTGGGCTGTGCTAGTAGCTCTGTGGGTAGGGCGCCAGCCACACACACCCAGGCAGGGGGGTTCCCCCTGCTCAGGCCAGCTGAACAACAACTGCAA